ACGACTGTTTTCAACATTGATAATAATCAGAAATGTTTCTTGAGCAGCAAATCAGCATATTAGAATGATTTCTGAAGATCATGTGACACTGAAGACTGGAGTAATGATGCTGAAAATACAGCTGCGCATCACAGAAATACATTACAGTTTAACAGATACTCACATAGAAAACAGCTGTTTTAGATTCTAATAATATTTCACAATTTTTACAGTATTTTTGAACAATAAATGCATCCTTGGCGAGCAGACTTCTTTATAAAACCCATAATCCTCAGAGGAGACTCACGGTGATGTGCAGACGGCTGAAGGTGTCTCTCATGTGGTTCAGAAAGTCCGGCAGAAGCTCCAGCAAACAGGAGGCCAGAAAAACCCCGCAGGCCAGACACGACGCCAGACTCAAAACCCTGTGCCGAGAGCCTTGAAACACACAGACTTCATTAACATACCACAGTCATGAGAAAGTTCCTATTTTAGTTTTTTGATACTAGAGTGAAATGTGAGCTTCATCATCCTCATCAGACCTGGATCTGAGCTGAAGCGTGTGGCTCGTCTCATGACACACACAGGACTGAACCCACACAGCAGACTGGAGCCCAGCATCAGCACCAGTGTGAGGAGCTTGATGTGAAGAAGCCCAGGAGAAACACCTGAGGAGTCCATCACCTGCAGCACACCTGAGAACACCATCATCATCATCATCATCATCACGTGCTGAACACTGACACACTTCACCACAGTTCAGCAGGGCTTACCAACACACACACTGCAGCTGGTGATCTGAGTTCTGTGTTCTTCAATCTCTTCTAGTCTAAACTTCTGTCAAACAAACGCGCTTAAACTAAACTAACCGGGCTTTAAGCGTCCGCGAATGACTGCTGTTCGCACACTAACGAGCTTATTTTCTAGAAACCCGGTGTTTTGTATATATCAGATGAGCACTCGAGCTTTAATCGTGGCTGTTCGCTGAGGTTTGTTCCAGTATGTGCTCCGCTTCTTTTCCTGTTTTCGGAAAACTGACGGTGAGTCACCTTCTCCGAATCTGATTCAGTTCAGTTCAGTGAACGAGTCGGTTGTCTAAATGATTCAGGACTCATTTGCTGATTTCGGCATCGCATACTAGCAAACTGCTCTTACTATTTTTCATCACATCTTTCTAAAGCAATAATAGAAAGAGTAGGATGCGAGTATTCGGTTCCGAATTCAACATAGCAACTCAATTGATTCATTAAAAAGATCCAGCTCGAAAGAGCGAGTCATTTGCGAATCGGGTATCAATATGAGTCACAGCTGTCCACAACTTGTCCAAACCTGCACAAGGAACATCATAAGCATGAATGAAATGCCTGTAGCCAGTGATTATTATTATATACCTTTTAGTACTGCTGCTGGACATTACATGCATAACACGAAACATTATGTAAGCAGTCCGAGTAGAGACATATATATATATATATATATATATATATATATATATATTTTGTATTATTTATTTATGTTTTGGTATTTTTCTTTTGATTTGAGGGTGAAATATGACCTGGACATGTTCTTGTCAGATTTCCTTTATACAAAGTATCATTTCTTGATTTTATTCCTTTGATTTAAGGGTGAAATGTGGCCTGGACTCATTAAACGTGAGAAAACGTTAAGATGCGAGAAACAGCCGGCTGTCTCTTAACTTTAGTGCACGGCGTGACTTCTGATTGTCTGCTGGAAGGATTTGATATGAGCTCCTGATGTGATGGTGTCAGTAGGGCTGCTCGATTATGGCAAAAATCATA